GGCATGTGCCACCAGGCCCGACTAATTATTTTTTTTAATTGTAGAGACAAGGTCTTGCCGTGTGGCTCAGGCTGGTCTCAAATACCTGAACTCAGGCAATCCTCTCACCCCCGCCTCCCAAACTGCTGGGATTACAGGCTTGAACCACCACGCCCTCAGCTTTTATCTCAGAAACCACAACTCCCAGTTTGGATCTCTTTTGGTCTGTTTGATCTGTTCTGGTTTGTTGATCTCTTCTGGTTTGTTTTTCTGGTTCGGTCTTCCTGATTGGCAACTATGGACCAAAGGGTGGTCACTCAAAATGGAAAACAGAAAACAAGAAAAATAGGATGGCTTAGTTGGTTTATAGGTGGTGCTGCTGAGGCTGAAGCTATGGACTTGATTCCCAAATTAGACCAAAGAACAGTATCTTAATATACAAAGGCGCTGACATTATACAACACTGAATCTAGCAAAGAGTAAGAGTGGTCGGGAGAGAGAGATAAATGAATTAAAAGGGATTTATCATTAAAAAATATTCTTTCTTCTTTTGGAAATAGCCATCTGTTAATCTTAGGGGTGGAAGGAGATCTCATTTACTCATTTTTGCACTGAATCACAGACTGAAAATCGATCCACCTTGCCAAAAGGGAAGAGAGAAAGGACTAGGAAAAATGTCAGAGAAAAAAGTATCCTGTTGTCCACAGGAAATGAACTTTGTCTAAGCATTTAAAAGCACCCTTGATATCATCAAAACAAAATGCTCATGCATTGTTTCTATATGTTATTCTGCTTTCCTGTTTCGTCTTTTTTCTTTTTCCTTTTTAAAACTTTCTTAAATGATGAGGCCTTTTGTCTAAAAAAGATCCGATTCAGAAAAGACCCACAAACCAGAAAGCTTGAGTCTAAGAGAGATGCCATGTCCTACTTAGGACAGGTGACCCAGTCTTCTGGGGCTCCTGCCCCTTCTCTAATTATGAAATATTCATGTCAACAATGACACACAGTTGATGAACATGGTCAGATGGAAAAGAATTTACCTGGAGGCTGAATGTGGACAAGGGCCCAGCAGAACTTTGCCAGTCCCAGCACTGCCATTAGCGGGCAAGTTATTCTCCAGCCCAGATGGCAAAATCCTCATTTTTAAGAGAGGCAATAATAGTTGAGTTAATTGCCAAGTTATATGCATCTGTATATTGAAGGCCCACAGAACTACCAAAGCAACATTATTATTCTTGATAATTTCAATCAAATCATAATAAAATTCTCAGAAGACAAAGGGCAATGCTAAACTGACACAAACCCTTTCTATTCCAGAATCCCTACTGCCCAGGAGATTTGAAATCATTGTTCCGATGTAAGAAATCCAATGTCCAAAATACATCTGTCTTTGCACTCCGTCAAATTTAAAAGGTTTTAATTCATTTGTATTTGATTCTCTGCTCCTGTGCTCCTCGGTGCCATTACAAGTGGGGTATCGATTGAGACTTTCTGAAAATGAAAGCAGGGAAAGAGACTAGTGTCTTCACATCTAGCCTCCCTGATTTTTCTCTGCCTGTGGTCCAGGTAGAGATAAGGCATTTGTATCTGAGCAGGGAAATCTTTCTTTTTCCTGGTCCCAGATTTTTGAAAAATAAAATGTTATTTGCAAAATGGGCGAGGGGAGAAATATACCCTGATAGACTTGTTCTGATTCAAGACTGAAAGCATGCCTAACAAATGAAGAGACTTGGTGTGATTTAGTGTAATGCCAGCAGCAGAAACACAACTGTAAATTATTCTTTTCCAACCTGCTCTCTGAGGCTCAAATTGCTGTTTTGCCGTCTGCATCTTTAATGATGGTTGATACATCCCCTGGGAAGGAAAGTACTGATCTCCTCTATCTTGATTTTGCAGCTGAGATGAATATATATGTACACACACACACACACACACACACACACACACACACAGACACACACACACGGCTTCCAGCAGTCACCAAAGTCAATGAAGGCAAAAAAGGAAGGAAGGTGAGAAAAACTTGGGTTCCATTTGCCATAAGTGGCAAATAATTTTCATATAAAAGTAACTCTCTCACCTCACTCATTATTTAGTATTCTTTTGTATTTAAACAATAAAGAATCTTGGTACTTATGACGGGTTTTTTTGTTTGGTTTTGAAGATTAGAGCAGTGCTATGTTTTTTGTGGTAGGTTGAAAGGAAAATTATTTGACAAGCCAAAATGACATCATAGACTGAATAGAGAAAATAACAAATGTAGCTGAGGTGCTTGCAAATAACTAAGGGTGGAATCCTGAGCCTTTAGACAGCATCTGATGCCTGACCTTTCAATTCACAAATGAGTCACATATCTGGGTAAAGTAGCAGAGTTGGAAGTCAAGAAGGTCTTCCCAGGGAAAAGAAGATGGGAACTGAAGAATGAATGGAAATTAATCCAAGGAGAAGGGTTTATTGTACTCTCTTCTTTTACAGAGATGTAGAGATACTAAATATCAGGGATTGTTCATAAAATGAAGATACAGGACATTGTTAGTCATACCCATAAGGAAGAAAAGCTTTCAAGAAGAGAGAAAAAGAATGTTTTACAACAGAATTCTCCATCAGATTACTACAAAATGTTGAGCAACTGATCAAATCTTATCATAAATTTTAATAGGGATAAATGTATAATTTTACATGTGAGTTCAAAAAAATGATTAAATAATCAAAATACTCTCCTATTGGGTGGGGTAAACAGAGATCAACAGTAACACATGTTTCCGGGGGTAATAATCATTGCCACATCAATAGATACCTTCCAAGGTTGAGGAAAGGTAAATATCTGATTATTTGGCTATGCACTAATCAGATCTTTTTGGAATAATGTGCTGCATTCAACTCATCATGAGACTAGCTAAAGAGAATCCAGAGAAACTGGAGCACAGTAAAAGAAAATGGACAGGACTGTAGCAAACTTGAAATGGCAAAGTGAAATAAATTCTGGTGATGCTGGTGGTATTATATGTGTGCACACAGCCTTTCAGCCAAGCACTTTCTTATTCCCTGCCCACTCTATTTCCTTGGGCAGCAAATAGATTTCAACTTGTTGCTTGACAAGTATGGTCAACTGGATGTGAAGTGGTATCAGTCACTCCTGCCTGGTCAGCTGTATTCTCTGGCCAGCAGAAATCCAATTTTTGACCTTGGACTCACCTTCACCTCAGCCTCAAAGTGGTCTTTTCCCAAGAACCCTGGTAAATCCTTCTGGAAAGTAGCCAGGTCAAAATGAGACCATAAAGCCACTTTAACGAGCACCAGGGAGACTGTGGGTGAATATTAAACGCCACAGCTCTCCTTCAGTGCCCTTCAAATGAATTAGAAGAAGCATGTCTGAGCGGGTGCCACATGGAAATTGTCTTTCTGCAGATGGTAGGGACTGAATTCTAATAAGTCTTCTTAGTCCCTGTGAATGCACCCAGAGAAAGCAAGCTTTAAAAGAGAAATACGGTAACCCTTTGAATATGATAGGTGAGCGGTCAGTCCTTTGCTAATCCCAACAATGTCTAATTTCCCCTTCTCTCTGGCCTTTTCTCCCCAGTCTTTGACTCACAGGCATCCACAGACTGTCAGTGGACTGAGCTTGATGAACATTGGAGAGAACTATCATTGACTGACACTGTGACTGTAGGGTGCCTATGGGGAATGGACATCAAGAAGGCTTAAGCATTTGCTCTTTTGATCACAATTAAGTCTGTCTGGCATGGTGGAATGAGTCAGAAAGCCAAGGCTGGAGTCCTAGTTTGGCCAGATGGGATTTTAGGCAAATTATTTAATCCTACTAGAGATTGAAACAGAGAGAGATTAATATCCCAGTTACTCATATTATAGGTTGTTATAGGGATTAAATGATGAATCTCCTTAAATTGTTTTTGTTCTGTTTTTAAAGAAATAAATGATAATTGCCAAAAATTCAAACAAAAAAGAGGAAGATATATAGACAGAGAAAAAATAGATCACTTCTAATCCAACAGCCTAGACATAACCATCATGATCATTTTAGTCTGTAAAACCTATTGTGTGGCGATTTCTGAAAGAACTAAAAATTGACCTTCCAGATGACCCAGCAATTCCCCTATTGGGAATATACCCAGAGGAACTCAAGTCATTATACAAGAAAGATGCCTGCACACGTATGTTTGTTGCAGCTCTATTCACAATAGCAAAAACATGGAACCAACCATGTTGCCCATCAAAGCTGGACTGGATTAAAAAAAGTGCCACATGTACACAATGGAATATTACGCGGCCATAAAGAAAGACAAACATATGGTCTTTGCAGCAACTTGGATGCATTCGGAGTCAATCATACTCAGTGATCTATCACAGAAACAATGAATACAGCACCATATGTTCTCACTCATAAGTAGACCTTGAATAATTATAATACTATAAGAAAGGGGTTGGCAGTAGTGAGAAATTGTCAGGGGAAGGTATGGGATTGGTGGTTGAGGGAAACTGGGGAGGGAGGGGCACACCTCATCAGCAAGGGTACCTGCATAATCAACGTTTGTATACCTAACCCTGAATTGTACCCCACATCTTTATAATAAAAATAAATACATAAATTTTTTTAAAAAACTGTAAGCACATAGTAAACACATACACACACACGTGCGCGCACACACACGGTGCAGTGAACAATAAGATTTTATTTTGCCCCGGGCCCCAGAGACAACCAGAAACTAAAATGGCCGAACAGCAACAAATATCAACAGTTTCTTATTTAGTCTTCTAAAATTCTATTATGCAAGTAAAAGCATTACATATAAACGCAAATAATTTATAAGACATTTAAATGTATCTTACAGCACTTTTTTGAGACAGGGTGAACCTCTGTTGCACAGGCTGGAGTGCGGTGGCATGATTACAGCTCACTGCAGCCTTGAATTCCTGGGCTCAAATGATCCTGCCCCTTCAGCCTCCTAAAGCCCTGGGACTACAGGCATGAGCTACTGCACCTGGTCTTAAAGCACTTCTTCTTTGCTACACAAGAGACATTTATTAATGTTCTGTTGTATTTACAGTTTTAACAAAGCAAACCAAGGTGAATTACCACTTGGGCAGAAAGCACATCAGTCTACATTTACACCCCATTGGTTTCTGCTAACACATTGTAAAAGCAAGTAGTTCAGTACGTTAGGGATCATCTCAAAAGTTCCAAGCTACCTCTTTTTTTTTTTTTTTTTTGAGTTGGAGTCTCACCCTGTCACCCAGACTGGAGTGCAGTGGCCACTCCCGGCCACCGCAGCCTCGACCTGCTGGGCTCCAGCGATCCTTCCGCCTCAGCCTTCCAAGTAACTGGAACTACAGGCATGTGCTACCACGTCCGGCTAATTTTTCGATTTATTGTAGAGATGATTTCTCGCCAAGTTGCCCAGGCGGGTCTCGAACCCGCGGGCTCAGGCAATCCACTCACCTCAGCCTCCCAGAGCGTGGGATTACAGGCTGAGCCACTGAGCCCAGCTTCAAGCTACTTTTTTCTTTGCTCCTAAGTATTGAATCCCCTCCCTACTCCCAGCCTTTGGCCTAATCATCAAGAGACAGAAGAAAAAGAAAACAAAAGGTAGAAATTCTAATACAGAGAGTGTCGAGAATTACATTTCAGTAATTAAGCTGCATTTGTATCCTAGACCTTTCTATTTTACACAATAACACCTTTTAGAATCCCTTAGGTACACATCACGGAACAGTAAGGCACCGCAAAATTTCGAATCCAGAGTATTAAAAATTAATGCTTACTTACCAATTAAGGACATACTTTTTGGCCACACCTTAAATGTGTTTTGTACTGTGGTTTTGCTTCCAGGTGTTCACAAAGTACAACTGAATCAATTTCTAGATTAAATTTAACAGCAGATATGGATTATGTGGTCATAGCAAAAGTTTTAACTTTTGAGAAAACCCCTTGAAAATGGCCAACATAATACATATCTTACAATAAAACACTTTTTACTGTTAGCAAATGCACCATGTAACAGTGAGGTTATATCTTTACCGATGAGTACTACCCCTGTTGAGGAGAGCGTGGATGACATTATTGAACTATGGAGTCCCTGTTGTGCTACCAACAGCCACAGAAGCTTCCCAAGTGGCATATGCCAAATGCATGCCCATTATCACTGGATGGACCTTGGCCCCTTACCACCAGTTGGTCTTCCATTTGGCTTATCACATGCCGTGTCACAGTTTGCGTACTCTAGGTAAGTCAGGTTGCCGTCTCTTTGCCCTCTCCCCTCTGGAATCACACACTAGATCTCAGCACTCAGACAGTGAAAGAAGCACAGAAAACAAAACTGCATGAAGTCAAGTAAGACCTGAAAAACATGGGCCTAAGACACCCATTTCCTAATCTGTCCCTCTAAAGAAAGTGATAAACCACCAACCTACAGTCGATCTATGAAAGGGTCGAAAGCCACGTCTCTGTTTTAAATAAGACCCTTTTGTTTCTCCACTTAAAGCTCTTTTGATTATGTTCGATCATGTCCCTGATAATCCTGTTTTAATCCTTTACTCACTTGCAACTTGCTCATCTTTGAATGGCAAGACGTGGAAACGATGTCTTATGCTCCCTCCTAGAGGTTAAGGAGGGTGGTCACATTATTCTTTTCCAGTCCTGATGCCGAAACTACTGCAGCAACTCACTTCAGTCCACAGATAACTAACTTCCTTGACAGTAGAGTCACATGGTCCAGCTGTCAAATAGAATCAATTAACCAATGAACTTATAATCATCCACAAGGAGTTACCTAATTAAGAATAAGAAATTAAGTTCACAGCTGTTCCTTGGCACTAACCCTGACACTACTCCAAGAATAATAAAGTCTGAAAAATCAAATGCAGGACTGACCATTTAAGTCATGTGAGCATGTGACCAACCAAGAGCATTATCCACATCCATTGATGATCAATTCATAAAAATTGACTTTGAATGGTAAATTATAACATTAGTGAAGTTGGGTAGAGTTGCTTCTTACGTAAGCATTTGGCACTGAAGTTACTACATCAGACAACAAATCCACATGGGCAAAGGTACCCTTTAAAATCTGATAAATTATAGGAAATATTTTTTGTACAGAATCCTCTAAATGGTTTCATTCGATTTGCTAACTCTCCATGATTATTTTGGGTTTTGTTTGCTTGCTTTGTGTTATTTTTGTGACCCTCAAAAATAAATATTTACTTTCACATGAATAGTGATTAGCATGTCTTTGAACAATCAAAATCATTGTTGCCATAGAGTTAACTCTTTTAAATCTGTTTGCCCACAGGTCATTTAATTAAATGAAGTATAGAACCACCAATCTTATTTAACTTGACATTAAAGCAATAAATATTTTAAAATTGAATTGTGTGGATTTTAGTTGCAATGATGGACTAACTGGAAAAGACCCTCTCATTCAGTACTCTAAAGACAGATGACAGGAAAAATCATTTCTTTTTTAAATAATATCATAAATATTTATATTGTATTCAGTTCCTACTATTAACCAAGAACTACATCAAGCCCTCACAAGAGTTTTTCAAGAATAGGCATTAATATCTTCATTTTTTGGACAAGTTTATAGAAATTAAGTGGTATTGCTTAATGTTTTGAAGCAAATAAATTGTAGGCTGTAATTTTACCACAGGGAAGGTCTAAAAGCTCCGAGGATCCTTGTATAGGGTTGAGAGCCCAAGGGCAGTGATCAATTTAAGAAATACAGGATTATGGTACTAGCTTAACAGACACATAGACAAGTGGAACAGAGTAGAGTTTAGAAACAAATACAAACACATACGGTCAACTCACTTTTGTCAAAGGCACCAAGAAGATACAATGGGTGGAAGATAATCTTCTTCTTCATAAATGATGCTGGAAAAACTGAATTTCCACATGCAAAAGAATAAAATTACACCCTTATTTTTTTTACCACAGAAGGCTAAAGTTCATGCTCTTTCCATTTGTCTAAAGAAAATCTATTCTATGAAAATGAGATTTGAATTTCCCATATCTGATAAACAACTCATGCTTTCAACAAAGGTGACACTAGTCTCAGAGAGTAAGACATCCTATGATTTATCCCAGTACATGACCTCATTTATAAAGAAATATTTCTCCTCTTTGCTGGCACTTTCTGGAAAGCTGAACTCATTCTGAAAACACTAAATCTACAGGTTCTTCTTCCCCAGCACAACCATTCTTCAGGTTGAGAAGTACTCCTTGTGAGGATCTGAGCAACTGTTCTGAAAGTGTACTCGTCAGCCAAACAGCATCAGAAGCACCGGGAAACTTATTAGGAATGCTAATTCCAGAGTCCAGCTGCAGGCCTTCCAAGTCAGAAACTCTGCAATGGGGTCTGGTGATCTGTGATTGAACAAGCCCCTCATGTGGTTCTGTTCTAAGTCTAGATTGAGATCCACTGCTGCACAGAAAGAACCTCTACAGGTGTGTACCACTCCCACAGGACTCTCAGCTCCTGCTTCTGAATTCAGATGACGGAAAAAATGCCAAGTCAAAATTGTAGGCCTGTTTGTTCTTTTCCTTAAATGGAATAACTTTAATTCCATCTAAATGTCCTTGCAGAATAAAAAAAACCTTACTTTACCCTAGGAGGGATTGAAGAGGTAGATACAAAGTCATGGGAATTCATGAACACAGACATAGATGCACAAACATATATGAACGCCCAAATGAACAAGCATGAAGGGAATGCTGTCTAAGATCAGGGAAGGCCTAAAAGCTCCGAGGATCCTTGTATAAGGTTGAGAGCCCAAGGGCAGTGATCAATTTAAGAAATACAGGATTATGGTACTAGCTTAACAGACACATAGACAAGTGGAACAGAGTAGAGTCTAGAAACAAATACAAACACATACGGTCAACTCACTTTTGTCAAAGGCACCAAGAAGACACAATGGGTGGAGGACAATCTTCTTCTTCATAAATGATGCTGGAAAACCTGAATTTCCACATGCAACAGAATAAAATTACACCCTTATTTTTTAGCATATACAACAACCAACTCAAATGGATCAAAACACAAACACAAGACCTGAAACCATAAAACTTCCTGAAGAAAACATAGGGGGGAAACTCCTTGACATCAACCTTGGAAATGATTTTTTGGAGATCACACCAAAAACTCAGGCTAATAAAGCAAATATAAATAACTGGGAGTACATCAAAGTAGAAAGCTTCTGTGCAGCGAAGAGCACAGCCAACAAAGTGAAATGGCAACCTATGAATTGGGAGGAATATTTGCAAACCATGTATTTGATGAACTACACAACTCAACAGCAAGAAAACTCAATTTTTCAAAAATTGGGCAAGAGACCTAACTAAACATTTCTCCAGAGATGACACAAAATTGGCCAGCAAGAGTATGAAGAGATACTCAACATCACTAGTCGTCAGAGAAATCACCTCACACCCCTCAGAATAACTGTTATCAAGAAAACAAGAGCTAACGAATGTTGGCAAGGGTGTGAAAGAAAGGGAGCTATCCTCACACACGGTTGACAAAAATGTAGACTGATGCAGCCATTATGGAAAACAATACAGAGGTTCCTAAAGAAATTTAAAATGAGGGAGAGGCGCAAGATGGCGGTTGAGAAACAGCTAGTGTGAGTCTCTCCCATGGACTGAAACAAAATGGCGGGAGCGAAACAAAATAGCACTCAGAGAGGAACAAGACAGGCAGCACACCCCACGGCTCACCAGAGCAGTGGTAGAACCCATGGTGCACAAAGCAAAGAAAATGTGTTCAGCCTGGGTGGGAACGAGGCAGACTTTACTGGATCACTGCACAAACCTCAAGCAGCTTCCTGATACAGCTGAGAAGGGAAGTGAGGGAAATGCAGGAATTCTGTGCTCCTGCCCCAGACCTGAAACCCATGGAGTCTCACGGGACTCCAATCCCTCAGAGGAACCTGCCTTACTCACAGCCATACACTGCCAAAACCCACCCGGAGTAGTCCAGAAAAAAAGCCCTGAGAAACTTCAATGGCCATTTCCTGGGAACTTGATCTTGGTTGGCAGTCGCATTCTTGCAGGCCTGGGAAGAAATGGGAAGACCCATTCGCAAAGAGTTCCAGCTGTTCTGAATGCAGACTGCCTGTAGCAAAGGGAGTGGGGGCAGCTGGAAGGGACTCGTTGGCCCCAAAACCCATCATTTTCCATGTGTGTCTTCTCCACAACACGTCAGTGTTACCCCAGTGGCCAAGGACTCCCTCCCGATTCCTACTTGGGTAGTCAATGGAGCTCACATGTGGGGAGCTGAAGCACTTTCCCCCTGCATTCCTCTCAAAATCTCAAAACAGATAGGGAACTTTGGTTGTCCCCATAGCCCTGGCCATCACCTAGGTCATCTGTATACTTCTTTGGGGTAACACAGGCCAAGCAGAAAGCCCACAGTCACCATCACAGCTGGCTCTCTTGCACAAGAGCCACCTCCTGGCCGGAGGTCAAGAGCATAGCCCATTGCATCTGATATAATATGTCAGCTGTGAGGAAGGTCTGATCCTAGACCTCAGCTAACACCATGAGCCAAGCCACTCAGAATGCCTCGAGCTTGTA